GAGCGCGCAGCATCCAGGCCAGCGCAGGCGAGGGGACATCCCGCACCCACACTGGGCATCACAAAGCAGAGCTGAATCATGTTAGCTGCAACTGACACCCCTGGGGGAATGCAACGACTGCTTTCCAACCATACATAAAACAACCCTTGTACCCCACGTCCCCAGTTAGTTATTGAGTGATACAAACTCAAAATGCTGGTGAATGTTACTGGACATCGACACACTGAAACCTGTGCCTCGTGAAACCGTTACATCTGCGCACATTACTTTGACTGAAATCTTCATAATTAATGAGAAGCCTGTACTAACCATCCAGCGACTGATAAAAACATGCTAGTTTAAAAAACAAAGCTAAAACTTAGATTTTGTCACAGCCGCTTTTCAAAGTTGGATGGCAAATTTGTTGCAACAAATGGAATATATGATTAAATATTTTGGAACAATATAGAAATCACTACTTTTATGATACTTGCTGGCAAATAGGCAGCCCATACACCAAAAGAATCATTAAATGCTTTTAGAGCTCAGATCTATGCAAAATATTACAAAAATGAGGACATCTTTCTATAGAACAGGTGTAAAATTATTTATCCTTGCAAAGAGTGTTTTTCCATTTAACAAATGTAAACTTTTCTGAATGTTAGAGATTGAAATCAATACTAATTATCCCAAATCTGATAAAACAGTAAGAGAAGAGCAGATTTGGTAGCAGAATTTGAGTACAGGTACTTGTGATTACAACAACCAGCAGAGGGAGTATAAAAACAAAACATAAAAACTCCAAACAGCTTTTTCTCTTTTTAATCTGTTTTAATTTACGATTCAAAGTTTCCTTTAAAATTAAAATGGTGCAAAAAGCGCAAGTTCCAAAACATGAAACAAATATCCCATTTAATTGTAAACTATTAAGCTTGATTAACAACTGTATTAAATTTGTAAGCCCCGCTTAAAAAAGTACCTCACACACACAGTGTCTCAATTATTTTAAAAATATGAAACTAAATTTGTTTCAGGTGCAGTACATGCACCTATTTGTACTAGGCTACAGTAAAAAATCTTGAAACCAAATAAAAGGTAGCACTAATCTGCAAAATACATGATTTAGAAGTGATTAAGCCAAATATTTATCCTAGATCTTTAGTGCAGGTGAAGGTTCAGATGAACATTTCAAAATCAAGTCGTGCAGAAATAAACACCCATCTTATCTTTCAAGTTTTCACCAGATCCAGCTGATGGAAGTGGCTTAAATGCCAAAAAAAAAGGAGGAAGGACAGAAGCAGAGCTGATCGGAGACTTCAGCCTTGTTCCAAAACTTTAAATGAACAACCACCCTATTCTAAAAAGTGAAGAGCGTCATCCAACTCCGTACTTTATCCCACTCACCATTGCTTAAAATGCAAATCCATTTCTTCCACAGTGCATCCTAAACAAGCAACAAGCCTCCGGAGAGTTAACTCTGAAGGATTTACCTACTTTCTCAAGGCCTGTGAGTGCTGTGCAGCCTCAAGACAACAGGCAAACACGGAAAACGGAGCTGAGAAGTCAAGAGGACAGAAGATTAGTTATTTTAAGTGTAAACTACATGCTTCACAGACTACGGTTTGGGAAAAAAAAAGAAGTCTTACATAAATGTATATTATTTCAATGTTAACTGCTCACGCCCACAGTTTCCATCCCCTCGGCTTTCAGTTCTGTTTATCTGTCCGTTTTCCTCCACTTTCTTCCGAAGGAGAACAGCAGTGCTTCAGCGTGGGACACACGCAGCTCCTGTACGTTCACTGGCACGTTACAAAGTGCCGGACCTGAGGGGGCCGCTGAACGACATCGTGAACCGTCACAAACTGCTGCTTCCACGGGCAGCTCTGCTTCTCTAGTCAACACGGAGCCAGATCCCTAGGGGTAAAACTGCCTTCCGCATCGGTATCTGAATTTTAAGGAAGATTTATTTACAAAATCAAATTACGTCTACCTTTACATGTGATTCACTGCTAAAATCAGCATTTGACTTGCAAAATCTTGATTACAGGTAGTAAATATACAAACCAAGAATAGGAGGGTTAAGTCAATATTACCTTTTCAGTCAGTCCAGTAAAAGGAACACTTTCAGCTTTATTTAAACTATTGCCATTTTTCCCTACTACAAATCCCCTCTACATACACTTTTCCCTCAAAGTTTTACAAAGTCTTTAAGTCTGTCACATTTCAGCATAAGATAAACTTACTGCATCACAAAGAAAAGCAGGCAAAACACGATTTTATGCAAAATTATCAATATGCCAGTAATGTTCGCAGAAGTACAAGGCCCATCCTGTAAAACACTCCCACCCATGAGCAGACTCAAGGGACAGACTAAACACTAGCATATTTAATAATATTGCCACACCTGCATCTCGAGAGACCTTGCTTGCAGAACAAACATGGGATGCTCTCGTGGAGACAAGACGTCTCACAAAAATTTGAATGCCTGGCAACTCGCAGTACCCTAATTATGGCAGAAACCCACTGTGGAATAGATCCAGGACTGTAGATATGCTTCCTTGACACATTGTTTTGCACTAAATTACACACTTAATAGATTAGGAACAACCACACACACACGGGCTACACAAACTTCTGCATTCTCATCCAGCGCTTCACTCAGAATTGTAAGAAAATTAAAAGCAGTCGACTGCAGCATAAACCGAATGCTGCTGAATTCCAAATTTTAACAAGAATAATCTTAAGAAAAAAATGGAGAATCTGACAGTGCTGTAGGCAAGTAGAAAAAAGGTCCAGGGAAAAAAAAAGAAAATACCTCTCCAGCAATTTCATTGCTGTACAGTCTTAAAAACTCTGTTAGGTCACTTCTCATTCTCCCCTGTGAAAATATTTAGACTTCCCTTGTAAAAATATTTAGACTTTTTTGTCCCCAAAGTATAACAGCATATACGTATGGGTACGCATATGATTTAGAATCTGAAATACCATTTGAGAACCACTAAGAGTTATGAGACACAGCGCATTATCTGTATTATTCTACGTGATCTCACCCTCTTCAAAGCAATAATAGTCTTCCTGTTGTACTGTAACCAGTATTGTGTACAGTACTCCAAACACAGCCCAACAAGTGCTCTTTGCAATAGCCGCACTGTTACTGAATAGTATCTTGTTTGACTTCCCTCCACTCCACCTCTTTTTTCAGCCCGGTTTCCTAAGGAAATCAGACTTATGCAATCACTTGGAGGGTGTACACACTATGTACGTATCCACACTCGTATGTGAATCTCTGCCTGCCTGACCTTACTAACACCTCTTGAACCCCTTGGCCAGTTTCAGTCACGTCCAGTACTGGATTAGAGACCTCAGATATTTAAGTTCTTGCAAGTTTCACAAGACAGGCAGCAGAGGACAGAAAAGTGGCTGCACAGAGCGAGCGGCTGCATGTCTTGTTAGAGATGTCAGAAAGCTCGCAGGGAAAAGAGCTGCTCTGCCCCTTTCCTGCCTGCAGGAAAATCTTCAGTCAGAGGTCACTATCAGTCAAACATGAGTTTCTTCTTTTCAAGTGTTCCTAAAATTGCTTAAGTTGAAGCCATTGCTTCTTTTTAAACAGTGTGTGTACAGAGCTGCTGTTTTCCATGTCTTCTTTTTCTTGGTCTTGATTGTCATGCATGACACGTTCTCTGGCTCTGTCCCTTACTCTCAAAGCCACTTACTTTTAAAAAATCGGTTGTACTACATCCACAACTAGCATTCCACACTTCTCATATGAAAAAAAAGAGGAAGACACTACAAGAGATTAAAAATCTCTCGAGATCCTAAAAGTAAATGCATACGTGGCATAATCAACTATTAAATTGCTTTTTTTTTAAAAAAAAGCAATGCTTCAAACATAAAACTCCCTTTATACACCTCTCCCATACAACAAAACACAACCAGGCTTGTAGGCTATTACACTTAAGTAAGCTGTACGGCATTAAGACATATAAAGGTTTCATCTGGTATCTCTGCAACTTCTGTCCCCTCAAAACACCTACGTGTGTGGACTGAACGCTATTTACCTGTATCCAAAAAGTCATGCAAGTGAAGGCACGCCAAGGGATTCAAACAGCCGTGGGGACGCGTTAAGGGATAAACCCCAGATATAGCCCAGTATTAGGTGAACCACCCCCAACCAGCCACGGCTGGTCCCAGTCATCCTGAGCACCAAACCACGAGATGC